CTGACATGCGGAAAATGTAAATGGCAAAAAGGAAATTCAAATTGAGACCCCAAATAAATTGGTAATACGGATAGTTGAATTAAAAATACTCCGGTAATGATGAATAGTAATAAAATTAGCGGAAAGATAATTCTAAATATTTTTAAAAGTAATTCCTTTCGATATTGTTACCAAAAATGTATTCAAATAGTTAAGCAACTTTAATTTCAATTACAATTTAGTTTCTACTAGTTAAATATAATTTTTTTCCCTTGTTAAAATAAACATAAAAACATATTCAATAAATTTCAATCCAGGATACCGCTTGGACATTACCAACTGCCTTTAAAATTGTAAAGGTCATGGCACAAAAAATAGATTTTTGTGTTTCTTTGTTGCATTAGTAGTTTAGATATACAAGGACATGCCATTTTAACTGCACAAGTATCTGTGTGGATTCTATTCTTTTCTGTTGTTGCTTAAGCACTTCCTGCAACCAATACATACTAAATTTAAAGTGGCTCATTTCGGGTACGTCTTCTGCCACGGCCAACTTGACGGACATTTGAGAGTGTCCTGTACTATAACCATAAGCCCGGCGATAATTGCAATTGCATAATTAACGCTGTTTTAATGGCTGCTTTAAAGTGGCCGCTTTAAGTACTTACCTGCACTCGTGTTTTCCTGCTTCCGCGTGTTTTTAATGCGAGATGAAATTACTTTTTATTGACGCCTGGCAAACACGATTGACATGCACTTACACGCTCGTTGAGTGTCATTTTGCCACTTGCGGTGGCAATGGCCGCCGCTGCGTGGCAGTGTGTGTGAGTTCCCGTCAAAGTGCGCCGGTATGGGTGCCCATCTGTGTGCGAAACACATATGCGAAATTGATATATACTGAAACCATTGATTTTCCAGTCTGAAAAGGTGTTTCACACGGCAGTTATTATTTCGTTGTATAACTTTCAAAATATAATATTTTTTAATAAGGTTATATGGATTGCTTTAAAAGCAATTTTCATATATATGTTTTTACCTTGGTTAAAAACGTTCAAAAACATATTCCTTCCATATTCCATATAAATTATAAATACAAAATAAGTAGTACTAAGATTAATAATAAAATTTATATTAGAATTAAAATTTTTGAACTAGAACTTAGGTAACTAAATCTTGCAGGAGCACCCTTTGATTCGGATTTTTTGCCCCCCCGTGGAATGGCTTCAAAAAATGCCAACGATTACCGGTGACAGTTAACAAGTCAATCGCTACACGGCGGATATGCGATACCGTACATATATAGCCCATTAAAAAAACACAAGAAGCGGATATCGATATCGTGTGTGACATTATCTTAATGCTCATTAAAAGCCCTTTTGTGTTGAAGCAAGTAGCGGGGCTATTGGTTCATTTGGCCGTGGGAAAGTTTTTAATTGCTAAAGTTTGCAGCAAAGTGAAAATGGCAGTTGCAACACTCCGATATTTACTCGATAAATTGATAAATGTGCAGCAGTCAGGTTGCCCAGGCTGCTCATTAAAAGCGCCATTCTAAGCGGTGCGCGTTAATATGTCAAGTTGAGCAGTTAAGCCCCAACACCTCCTCCTCCCCCTCCTCCTCCACCTGCTCCTCCACCTGCTCCTCCTCCTGCTCCTCCTCCGCCTCGAACTCCTTGAACTCCCCGTCATCCCCGTTGCAAATGTCTGATGCAGCGTTTCGGGGCACAAATGAGCAAAAGTTAACAAGACAGAGCCGGGCAGACGAGCTGTCTTATTACAGCTGCTGCGTTTCCTGAGCAGTTGGTGCTCTGCCCTCTACTGCCACGCCCCCAGAAACGCCCCTTCTTGCGGTTCTTTCTGGCACGCCCGCTGCCTTGAGCATGTGGCATCGGTAGCTCCACTTATAAAATCATGTCCGAAAACGTATCCTTATCAAGAAAATGTTGGGAATTTTCCACCAACAAAACTTGGAAATAAATCAGATTTTTGTAGCTAATATATATATATAATTAATATATAATTAATATAATACAATACTTTCTAACCATAATATATATTCATTCCTGAAAGTTTTTTCATTATTTTCAAAAACAAAGAAATAAATAAAAAATTTATGTTAAGGTTTAAAAATGGAATCTAAACATACAATTAACTGACATAAATTAAATTTGTTGTATTAGGTTTAGCATAATTTAGTACAATTCCTTTAAATGGAACTGGAAAAATAATGTTACAAACAGTCAGACAATGTTTTTTTCGAGTGTTAAGGAATTTTAAGTGCCTGCAACGCAGCTTAGCTCAGCTGAGCGCAACTCATCTCATCTCATCTCCATCTCGTGTGCGAGTGTGTGCTTAACCGCGAGTGCAATTATTACTTGCGAGTTGCAACAAACGGCAGCAGCTTGGGCAAACTTTCAAGATTCCCCTAATGGCTGCTGTTGAAAGCAAGGATTTGTGGCCCGGGCAGCCGGAAACCTGTAACGAAGATGCTTACATATCATAAACATCGGCAATAGGCAACCGGTCCATTGTTATACCGAAGGCAGCTGGCCAACCACAGGACCCCGACCACGAATCGCAACCGGAGACCAAGCAAACGTTTGACCAGCCGGTTAACAATGATGTTTTCAACGGAAACAAACACGAGTCACAATGCCTACAAAGGATGTACACTCTGTTGCTTAAGGTGTGCTTAAGTTTTAGTGTATTTTAGTAAATATTATTCTGAATTGTTAAAAACATTGAAAACCATTTGAATAACTAATACACATTAAATTAACTAAACTTCTTCGTTTGCATTCTTTTGGACTTTCTTTTCAAAGATCTTTCTAATCATTTTAAGAGTCAGAAATATTAAAACCTTTTTAAAAACTATAAATATTTCAAACGAATTTGTTCATTAAAACACAAAGTATCATTGTTTTTATACCCTTGCAGAGCAAAAGGATATTATAATTTCAGTCAGAAGTTTGAAGTATATATATTCCTGATCAGTATCACGATCTGAATCGATCTTACCCTTTGCATGGGTATATGTATGGTATCTGTGTATTGAAACTATTCTAGTTCACTATATTGGCTATCAAGAGAATACTAATAGAAATTCACATTTTTATTATAAATCTAAACAAATTATTATTTGTAGCTTGATCAAACTTTTCCATATCCACCTTGGTAGATTAAACTGTCAGCACCCTTTGTTCACTGTGTATATCAATAGGATAGAAGTTTCCCTATCTATTGGAGTAATGTATGCGAAAGTATGCTTGACTGATTTATTTTGAATTTCTGGCAAAGGGAATTAAAAACAAACTTTAGTTGGCTGTCCTGCGAACTCGAACGACAACTCGCCGGCGAACACCTCCGTTGGCTCCTTCCCGGATGATCACGCGTCTTCGGATGATGACACGACGACGACGGCGGCGGTGCTTCTTCCCTTTGGTGGTGCCCTCCGTGCTGGTGGTGGAGGAGGAATCTGTTGTGGTGGTGGTGGCATCCGTGGTTGTGGTTGCGGCGTCGGTGGTGGTGGTTGTGGCCGAGGCACTGGTCGTAGTGGTGGTCGATTGGGCTGAGACCTCGCTGCTCTGGAGGATCAGCACGGCCAGGACGACCAGGGAAAGAGTGAGTAGGTAGCGCATGGTGAGGATGGTTCTTGTGGTGTTCGAGAACTGATGTTGATGGCCTTGACTGAGAGGTCTTTATATTTCCTAAGAGCCAAAGAGCTACTAAGTTATAAGCAAACACAGATGTGAGTTCCATGACACTACATAATAACATCTATTACAGTGCTCTTGCATATTTGCGATGCTTTGTCCATTATATTTACACCTGTTTGGACATATTTGGAATTTTTATTTTCGATTCTCTTATTTATTGTCATATTCCCATTCTTTCAAAAATATCAAAGTTACAATTTATGTTGATAAGGACGGAAATTTCTTTCAATGCATGTATTAAAGCGAATGGTTTTTTGAAGTATGTCTATTATTTTGTCTGGGGTTGAATAGGTAAAACAACACATTGAAAAATAAATATTTACTAGTCCGGGGTTAGCATAGATCTTTCCTATGGCAGCTATTTGATAGTGTTATCCGATTTTGATAAAATTTAATCCGAAATTTAATAGAAGTTAGAAAACGCCATCTGGAAGAAATCAAGTCGATTTGAATAAAAACAAAGGCGTGAGAATTTTTTATTTCAATCTCTCGTAAGGGAGCTATCCGATATAGTCGGCCGACAATATACAACTACACAACTTTTGGGAAAGTTCCAGCAAGATAGCTTTAAAACTGAGAGACTAGTTTGCGTAGAAACGGACAGACGAACAGAAGTATTTCGTTTCAGATCGTGATGCTGATGAAGAACATATATACGTTATGGGTTCTGAGATGTCTCCTTCACTGCGTTGCAAATTTCTGACTGAAATTATAATACCCTTTGCTCTGCAAGGGTATACAAATGTTTGTTGCTTAAATAGTGGTTTCAATTAAGGATTTAAGTAAACACATATGAGTAAATATTTTTTATTTGTTTACTTTGTTTCAGTAGAAAGGTTTGCGTTACATTGTTGAGTCATATAATGCTAACCCCGGACTAGTAAATATTTATTTTTCAATGTGTTGTTTTACCTATTCAACCCCAGACAAACTAATAGACATACTTCAAAAGCCATTCGCTCAACTTCATCTAGATCTTAATCTTAATACATGAATTGAAAGAAATTTTTTGTCCTTATCAACATAAATTGTAACTTTGATATTTTTGAAAGAATGGGGCGTGCTATGACAATAAATAAGAGAATCGAAAAATAAAAATTCCAAATACGTCCAATCAGGTGTAAATATAATGGACAAAGCATCGCAAATATGCAAGAGCACTGTAATAGATGTTATTATGTAGTGTCATGGAACTCACATCTGTGTTTGCTTATAACTTAGTAGCTCTTTGGCTCTTAGGAAATATAAAGACCTCTCAGTCAAGGCTATCAACATCAGTTCTCGAACACCACAAGAACCATCCTCACCATGCGCTACCTCCTCACTCTTTCCCTGGTCGTCCTGGCCGTGCTGATCCTCCAGAGCAGCGAGGTCTCAGCCCAATCGACCACCACTACGACCAGTGCCTCGGCCACAACCACCACCACCGCCGCCGCCACCACAACCACGGATGCCACCACCACCACAACAGATTCCTCCTCCACCACCAGCACGGAGGGCACCACCAAAGGGAAGAAGCACCGCCGCCGTCGTCGTCGTGTCATCATCCGAAGACGCGTGATCATCCGGGAAGGAGCCAACGGAGGTGTTCGCCGGCGAGTTGTCGTTCGAGTTCGCAGGACAGCCAACTAAAGTTTGTTTTTAATTCCCTTTGCCAGAAATTCAAAATAAATCAGTCAAGCATACTTTCGCATACATTACTCCAATAGATAGGGAAACTTCTATCCTATTGATATACACAGTGAACAAAGGGTGCTGACAGTTTAGTCTACCAGGGTGGATATGGAAAAGTTTGCTCAAGCTACAAATAATAATTTGATTAGATTTATAATAAAAATGTGAATTTCTATTAGTTTTCCCTTGAAGCCAATATAGTGAACTAGAATAGTTTCAATACACAGATTCCACACATATACCCATGCAAAGGGTATAATAATTTCTGTCAGAAATTATGTATATTTTTGACCTGTATCTCTATCAGAGTGGATAATACATGCCAGTCTGTCGTTCTGTCTTCACAAGTCTTTTGCTGGTTGCTTATACATATGTATGCTGATCGGGATCGGACGACTACATAATACTGATCTTTCGATATTTCCTATGGCAGCTATATGACAACGTTGTCGGATTTTAATAATGATTAGGAAAGATAGAAAAATCTATATAAAAATAACGGAAATAAAATTATAACATCGTTGTTTTTCATCAGACAAGCACCATTTTAGGAATATAGAGTTTTCTAACGACTTTTACGAACTACGAATTAAATTTTATAAAAATCGGACAAATATAACATATAGCTGCCATATGAAAAATAGTCGAAAATATGTAAAATGTATAGAAAAATCGTCATAGCTTTGATGTTTTTTAGCCTTTATGCATTTGGATCAACTGATTACTGCAAGGGTATATATTTATTTCTAATTTTGAAAGCTGCTATTCTCGGCAAGGAAGAGGCCGGCTTTTGTTTCCGTTCTTGCAGCCAGTTTGAATGAAGAGTAAACTGTACCTCGGTAAACTCTCCTAGAACAAAATCATCGCATGCCTGTGTGAGCAGCCGGAAAAGTCGGTAGAGAACAGCAAAGAATAAAGTTTCTTGCCGCGTATCGCACTTATCAAATTAAACAGAAGAGTTTCCTTCGCTATTTTGCATTCGCATTTGCATTCGCCGTATTTCGACATTGCACATTGTCAACAGCGGAAAAGTTTCCACCTTTGCGCCGAGCAAAAAGCAGTAGCGGTAAGAACAACCATAACAGCAGTATTATTAACAAAAACAATAACTTATTACCCATTGCTTTTAGTAGTTTTTATAACTTTTACGACTTTTTAATAAAGTTGCAATGCATTTGCTTGTTGCACAACGTTGGGTAATGGGGATTTGGGGGTTTTGGAGGGTTTGCAACGTCAACTTCAACTCTCAAGACAAAGTTTCAGCCCGAAGGCCTTGGGGCTGGCGATGCACGCTCAAGTTGTAATTTACCCTCCCAACCCCTCTTTTACCAACCCCCTTTGCAACATCCCTTCGACAAAGTGAGTTATGCAATGTCACGCATCCGCCATGTGGTCCGACTGGCTTCGTTTTAAGGCTTTAAGCTGCAGCGCGCTGACAGCCCAAGCCTCGCCTTGAACACACAGGGAAAAATAATGAAAAAATGCTTATCTGAACAGCTTCTAGCTGCAGAATAAATCAGAATAAAAAATTTAAAACAATAAAATCCAAATTTGAATAAAAGCAATAAACGAAATCATAAAAGAGAAACATTCATTTTATTCGTTTAAGTCCTTGGCAGCTTTCAAAGAATTAATTGCAAAAAACAGACATTTTTATATTGAATAAATCAATATTATTGTTTGTTTTGTGATCAATGTTTATTTTAACTGTAGATTTTAAGAGAATTCAAATGATTGGAAACACCTCCAAAATTAAAAAAAAAAAAAAACAAAAAAATTATTAAATAAAAAATATTGAAGTTATTTTTTACACATTTAAAAAAATAATATATTTTATAAATTTACTCATTAATTTAATTTAAAGCAAACTTCTAATAAGATATTTAAAATTTTAAATATTTTGAATACATAATTGTGTTTAGAGTTATACATATTATTGTGTGTTCTGTGTGTTTGTATTTATGATTATTATTATATTATGAAAAAGAATACACATAATTTTACAGTGATGTGCATCTGCACCTCAAAGACAAACAACAAACGATGCCAGACAGTGGAGACAGTGAAGCATGCAACACAAACAAAACACACGGACTCGAAATTCGGGTGGCAAGAATGCTAATTTGGCCCTCCCACACGCGCCACAAAACAGCATGTGCCACCGATAGTGTTTCGGAAGGGATTGTCTATAAGGAGGTGGGTCCGGGGTTTATGCGGCCAAAGTTTCCACTGTGGCAGCCAGCCAGCAGCGGCATAATGCATTTAGCCATCTTGCTGGTTCCGGGTCCTGCGTAACTTTTCATTCAGTTTGCCACATATTAAAATCTAACCACAAAATGTCAAACCGAAAACCAAAAGTTATGCATTTGTGTCTGCGTAAATGTGTACACGGTGTTCATAGGTGTTTGTGTGTAAGCGTGTGTGTGTGTGCCATTTTTGAGAGTGCGCTTGTGTGCTTGACAGGTGAAACTCAAAAGAATTGTTGCATAAACTTTGATGTTTATTAGCTTCAATGCGCTGAGTAGCTTCAGGGCATCCGGGCCTTGAACTATCTTTAATACACATAAATACAGGAAACGGAATTTGCTTGAAATGCCTTAAATTTGATTCTATTGCTGTTAAAGTAAGTAAGTAACTGCATACATTTCGATTCATATATTGTAAATGTAAAGAAACAATTCATCTATATAATTACCTTAAACATTCCCTGCTGAATTGTCGACAGATAATTGTCAATTCTCTGATTTATTTTAGATTTTACTAAAATTAAAGAAAAACTCTATAGAAAAACAAACAACATTGCAACTTGAATTGTTATCAAGCCAACTGTTATTGCACTTTCTGTATTTTTGTATGAAGAGTGGTTACAATGGTATAGCAATATTTTGTTGGAAATGAGTAAACAATTTTGGCTGGTTTAATTTTAATTTTGTATGTAAAAGCGGCAAACAAATTACCAAAACTCAAAGATTCATCTGTTCAATTAATATAAACCTACATATTATATCAACGGTATAAAATCTTTTATTTGTATAAATTATTTCAACGAAGCAAACTTAACTTTATTCTTTTCCTTTTCTTAAGGAAACACTCCACATAAGCTATTTTTAACTTCTATGTCCGCCAATTGTTTATCTACATACAAATTAGATATAAATAAATGCTCGATTAACAACAGGTCATGCGAAACACATTTGCCGAATCTAATGAATTTTGTTGACGCAGCTAAATGAGCGAATTTCACTTGTAATCATTCGGGCGAACCTAAACTGTTGACAGATTAATTAAGCAAAAATACCAAAAAACAAATCCACAAAAAATAGCAAACAACAAATAACAACATCGCTGTATTGTGTATGACAGTGACGAAGCATAAAATGCAAATATGCATTTTGCAAGTCTAATTGCAGACTTTGTAGTTGTTGCCGCTGCTGTTGCGCAATTATAATTGCGTTTATTGTGTGCATGTTAGCCAATAATTAGCATTGAATTAATTTACGAACAGCAAACCAATTAGCCACACACCTTATCCTCGACTCTTGACCGTCAAAGCGTCAAAGATGATTCGCCTCCCTTTGACCCTTTACCCCTCGAACTAACCACACAACATAATTATCATCATCGTGTTCTCGTCTCCGCAGTATAATTTCACTAAAATTCAATTTCAATCAAACACTTCGCATGCTCGATGTAATTATGTGATTCGCTTGCCAACTGGACACGAGAGTCATTTAAAGAGAACCTTAACAAATTAAGCTTGAAACCGAAATTTGATTTTAAAGCAAACCTGTCGAAATCGAAATCTTTTTTCTTGGTATTTAGTGTTACTTTATAAGCCAATAAACAAAACTAAATGAGAACCTTATATAAAACAAAAAAAAAACACATTTATTTAGAACCTTCCAATCTCTTAGGGTAAACGTATCATCTAAGTCATTATATAATATATAATATACTCATATACTTAAATTAAAACTTTTCTAGGCTTATTCCTTAATAAATGCTATCTAAATAAATATTAAAGTAAGGTTTTTCCTTAAAAAGTTTGATTTATGAGGCAATACATTTATAAACTTTCAAAAAAATCTCGGCTTTTTTTTTTTAATTTACAGGAAATAAATTATGCAGAGGACTATAAATTGTTGAAATAAGCTTGAAAGTTTAGGCTGGGAATTTTCAAGTTAAAAGAAAAAAACAAGATATTTACGAGCTGGACTAGTCCAATGGCCTTTTTGAAAATTGCAGCACAACATGCGTGAGGGAGACCGTTTAAAAGAGTTTCCCAAAGTGCAAACGCAGCTCCCCAAGACGGGTTTTCCTCGAGCTCTTTTACACACTCACACACACAGTGGGGATTTTGGCAACACAAACACAACAAACTGGACCTAAAGCACAACACACACATGCAGAGAAGTACAATGGATTGCATTTGAAATACACAGACGACGTGCCCAGATAAATTTTCCTCAGTCTCATTCTCATTCTTACTCCCATTTCCATTGGTTATTCCACACAAAACGAAAACATGTTATAAATCTGTAATTCGGATTGATATGAATAAATTATTCATTTTAAAAATGATTTAAAGACATACCCTTTTATTGATTTAGTTTTCTTTGTTATGCATAGCTGATAATTAACATAGTAATTAATTTACACACTCCTTTAAGCACAATGTTTTAAAGGAATATGATTTATTTTTCATGTGTATAACCATTTTGAGCCAAAAGACGACGACGCTGCAAAAGCTGCAAGACAGTCGAACTGAGACTCGGACCTTCCATGCTGACTTTGAAACTTATGCACCAGCCGTTAAGCTCAGCTCAATGTGTTGTTTTCCCCCGCTTTTCCCAGAGTTTTCCTTGATTTTCCTATGTGTTTGGACGTGTGTGCGTGGAAAAGCAGCTTAAGCATGCACATTCGCATAAGGAAACGGATGAAGAAGTTGCAGAATAAGT